TTTGAGGGAAAGAGAAAGATGGATTCCCACCTAGGAAAAGCTGAGGCGAGGTTTCCACTGAGGTCTCCACGGCTGCAAACTCATCTCCAGGCGCAGGTGTGCAAGAGCAAAGGAGAGCCGGTCCCTGCTTTCTACCAGGATGGATCACTGGGGAAGGCTCAGACCTTGCGCGCTTGGTGCAATCTCTTTATTGCATCAGTATCACAGCTGAAACTGCTTCTAGTTGATGTCTGTCAGACTCTGGCTGCAACGTGAACCCCGTGAGCAAAACCACTGTGAAGCACATGGTATCTGCCAGGGCCCCAGGGTGACAGTACTCGGGAGAAGTGGTATCGCGGGTCAGGAGGGGAAACACTAGAGCAACATGGAAGAAGAATTGCTTAGTCTTATATAAGAATAGCTCAGGCAATGAATATTTAGTTCCTGGTTATTTACAGTACCTCTTAACATTTTATTTCTGCAGAGGATTATTCTTTTCATAATTAGAATCATAATTTTTCCCTATTGTGTGCTGAGAATTTATATGTAATCTGCTTGAGTGTCAAGAACTGTGCTATATCCATTTTACAGTTCTAGAACTCTTACCACAGCACACAAGTTATATTATCCTCATTCCAGTCAACCTAAATGCCATCAACTTCACATTAAGAAAAAGATTTTAAAACATGATTTTCAAGTTCTCAGACTTCTTACAATACTTCCTTGATTTCAGCAATCCATGGGATCACAGATAGCAGCCTAACATTGATAACTGGTTGCTTTGTAATCCTTTCTTGTTCTACTCGAAACATATATGACTTAAATGTTTTTATGATATCATGTAATATTATATGAAGATAATTTGCACAGGAAATTTTTCACTAAATAAAAACAGTAATGTCACATGGGCTTTATTCTAAAAATTACTGGGATAATTCACATGAAAACTACACTTTATGCACATAACAGATGTAAGCTTAATTTTTTTGGGTGCAAATATTTAATACTTATCTGTGAAAGAATTTTCTTAGAACTATATAGCTATCTATCTAGCTATGTTCCAAGGCTCCCTTTTATTTCATGAAATAAAAATATACCCATTTTATCTCTGGACTGTATCTCAGATACATTTTGTTTCTATAACTGTCATCATCATGCTCATAAAACTTAATTGTAGATTCTGTCTCTTGTACAGTAGAATAATACATTTACAATTACTTCAATCACGAAAATATGGGTTTCATTTTATGGGACTTATTTTTCATATTTAGAAACCTCACAAACATCTAGATAATCCACAAATATTTTTTTTTAAATAGGGTAGAGGAAAATATACATAGCCTTATTTTATGAAGTACAACTGAAAGACTTTGAGAGAAAAGCAAGGGTTGAAGCAATCCTTCACCCACCCACACACCCCTGGATTTGAGAAGGCTTCTTAATACTTTTTCTTCCTGCAGTATTTGTTGCTTAAGGAAGTCTGTGGGTAGATAAGAGGTTATTACGCCTCCCACATATGCCTGTTTTCTTATTTACAACATTAAATCTCTACATAAGCACTTGAACCACTAATCCTTTTCTTTCAACCACTTTTTCAAGTTCTCTGGAACCCGATCCATACAACGCCTCCTGTAGCACACTCCACAGTTAATCAGAGCTCATCGCCAGCACTTCTGCAAGACCAGGTCTACCTCAAAGGGGTGCTCGATGCAGGCATCTTTCCAATGAAACATTTTGTTTGAAAACTGAATTCCATAAACACCACGTCTTATATTCCAAACAAATAATGCAGAGTTATCTTTTTCATATTATGAATTTTCATAAAAACACCTAGAGGAGGGTCCAGTCCCTGGGAGGGGGAGAGTTGGCCTTTAAAGGTTGTTGCCAGTGTTTGTTTCTTGTTACTCTACAAATGACCTTTATGAATGAATGCACGCTGTCAAATCACACCGGAGACACCGTATACATGTCTTACTAATAAAGTTACCCATTTGAAAAGCTTCGTCTGAATGAACAGATCAATAGCTAAAGATTTTTAAACTCCCTATAAAATGTACCCAAACAAGTCTATTAATTTTATGAAACCTTTATATTCCTTTTATTTGTAGTAAAAAAATCTCCCCTCCATGCACTAAATGACAGATGTGAAAATGGGTTAAACTTAAATGATTTAAAAAACAACCAGGTCTAATCTTCAGTGCTAATATAACATTCATTTAAAAATGTAGGTCAATTATTTTAGACAAGAGTTATGTTTTCTTTATCAATATCTATACACCTTACACTAAAATATAAAAGATGGGAAAATTACAGGCCTATCTAAAAAGAGTAAAACTTGATGTGTTTTTTTGAAATGATTAGATTTGGCAGTATAGTAATATCATTTGTGCTCGTCACACATGATAAATATTTTCAAGTAAATTTGTTCACTTCACTATTCAGATCAATGTACTCTACTGGTTGATAATATTAACTTTGTGTTAGAATAAAAACCTAGAAAATAACCATTAAACTCCCAAAATGCCTGCAAGGTTGACTCAAATATTAACTGAACACATCGTTGAGAAAATATTCTATAGACACCAGGTAGAACAGTCACCAGCTACAAATGTTGGAGTAGCCAAACAATTCCAGGTTTTTTTTATCACTTTTGATTCCCAAGGAATCTTATTCTTGTCCTTCTGAAAACTTTGGTTATAAGAACTTCATCAAAATACAGAAGTACATCTGCCTTCTGTATGGCAGAGATAACAACTCAAATATATTTTATCTACAACCCAAGGAAAAGTGAATTGAATGTATGTATAACACTCTAATTCTAATTACTATGATTTCTGGCATCTTGGAATAAAGAATATAAATAAAACTATATCTTCTTTATTCGAGAACATGATAATATGCAGACTACAAAAAAAGAAATACTGTAAAAAATAAATCCAAACAAACCAGTATTCTGTTCCTAATTTTGAACAGCTTATACCACCAAGAAAAAACGCACGCTAGTAGTTCTTTAAGAACAACAATCATTTGGAATGATATAAAATTAAGTGGCTTATATGTTCTATTGTTTTCCCAAATAAATACCACTTCATCCCTGGTACCAAAACCAAACCAAACCAAAACAAACAAAAAAAACCACTTTAGAAGTTGCTTTTTTTGTTTGGTTTTACTCCAAGTTACTGTACATCACCCATAACGGAAAGAAAGGGTAAAAAATAAAAGAAAAAGAAAAATAGGGAAAGTGGTTTCCAACTGATGATTCATCCATATGTTATGAAGTTATAAATATTATACTCATGAGATTCAAATTATTTCTTAAACAAAATCAGCCTTACTGAGATCACAAAATAGCATAAGAAATCAAACGTTTCATATAGAATACAAAAAGGGAGGACAAATTTGACTTTGCTTCCATTCGTGTGCTAATAATAACAGTGGATGGAAACCAGACACAGCACCTTAAACAGAAACCACATCCAACTCTTAGAAAAGAAGAAAATGATATGTGATGTGATAGGAGACTCACAGAAAAAATAAATAATAGCAATTAAACAGAAGGAAAAATGAGGATATTATTTCTTCTATCGATTATTTGCTTTTTTTTGGTACCAGAGACCGAACTCAGGATCTTGTGTGGCGGCACCACTGAGCTAAATCCCTGGCCCTTGTTTACTTCATTTTTAAAGGTGCTAGAAAGTCAGTAAGACTTGGAAGAATACGGGACAAGTCCAACCACAACAGAATGAGTGTCTGCCAAACTGGATGGTCCTACCCAAAGACCTAAACATCTGGAAAGGATACAGAAACTACTTCCTTACAGAAGTAACATTGAAAAATATAATTTCTTAATATTCCACCAATAAATCACCTCTACTCAAAGAACTGCCTGTTTCCCTTTCTTTTTCTTTTTAAATTCTCTGAGTTCTTCATTCCAAAGCTCCCTTTCTTGCAGGTAGAGAAAGAGCGTCCAAACACTGACTGGAGGTCCAACCTCACGTGAGGCTGGAACCCTTCCCGAGTCCCACCTCCTGTTTAGTTCGCCCTCCACGGGAAGCTCTACATAGAGCTGACTCACCTCCATTCAGCCTTCCGTTATTCACTGCAACTTGATATATTCGGGTTTCCCAAACGAGGTCAAATGTACACTGCAGATCTGCATTTCCTGAACTCAAACCCTTTCAATTGCTTTTATCAAGTTCTTCATTTAAAAACTAAAGTTAAAGTAGAATCCTAAATGTAATTATTTTATACAGTTTAAGAAATCCTTGAGAAAATGTTTGTTTTTATGCGTTCTTTTATTAATCTTTAAAGGACATCTAGGCTTTTGTTTTTCTTTGTATTATAGAAGAGAAATTTTGTTTGGATTTCATTTGTAAAAGCATTGGGAAATTTATAATGAAAGCTTAATCTATATAAAAAATCTCTGGGTATAAGTACATCTGATAAAACTTTTAGAGTTCTCCCTTTTTCATACCTACTACTTTAAACAAAACTAAATAAAGAAGACATATGTTATTTCGGTAAAAGTAACTAACTACATATTAATTCAAACAAGGAAGCAAAAATCATATGTTTTTATTGGCTTGTTTCACCTTTTTTACTTTCTCTTATGAACTAAAGCTCCTTTAGCTTAAATCATAAATTTGATAGTAAGACCTTTATGCAATAGCTCATTTTAATGCCCAGCATTTGCATTTTAAAAACCAAATATTTACATGATTGCCTCATGAATTCTTTCTGCACTGCTAAAGATACTTGGTAGCTTCTGTTTTAATATTTTACTCATCAGTCTCAAAGGTTACTCACACACAAACACGTAAATGAAGGAGGAAGGGGAAACAGAACTGGATGAGGGGGTGATTCACCAGAACAGCTGACAGTCTGTATTTACTTCATATGGCGAAGGATTCTCTACATTCTGTTCCTACAACACAAAGCATGGCTGTCTCCGCCATTTGCAATGGGAAATGCACAAGCGCACTACCTCTAAATCTTCACATATAGCAAAAGCCAACGCCTACCTCCATCTCCAGATCCCGATCCTGCATCTGGGAGGGAAAAGAAGACAAAAAGAAGAGAATCTGTATTTAGTTGACAAACATATTAAAATGTGACATTTGAAAGATCAAGTTTACTTTCCTAATTGAAAACTATACTACATTGTGAAAACTGCTAATACTTAATCTGGTAAGGTACCGTTTTATCAATTCACCTTCATTTCCATTCACACAGTGCATAAAATAAGTTCTCTGTCACTACTATTTGGGAACTTTACCAAAAAATGTATCATCAGCATTAGGAAAATTTCTAAATTTGACTGCACAAAATCCTTCAGTTTAGAACTAAAACTTAGAAGCTTTAACCAAATAAGTAAATACTTAAATACATAAATGAATCAATCAATCTGAAGTGCTTATACTAATCAACATTTTAGAAACTAAACAGTCTAATACACATGGCAAAGAAACTCATAATTATTTTTTATGTTATCACAAACCACACAGGATTAAAGAAAATAATTTAAAAATAAATCTTTCTATAATTGGTAATATATTTAGAAAGAGCATAATTTTTCATCATTCCATACGAATTATTTTCTTTGTTTCTGTAATGAGTAGAAGAGTAAGCCTGACTTTTGCCTTCGCACTGAATTTGACTATGAACACAGTGGTACCGGAAGAACCTTCCCGGCTGGGTTCCTCTCTCTCTACTTTTACTTTGCCACTGCTACTGGTCACCAATGGCCACCAGTAACTGCAGCTGGGAAGCCGCCTATTTCTGAGGACTCGGTTTCAAGAAACACTCAGTTTTCTGGTTCTGGTCCAGACCACTGAGCTTCTATCTGCTTCTGGGAGTCAAGTGCGTAGCATCTTCCCCTGCCTCCCTACTTCCTGAGTTTCAGGGCATCTGGTGATGGGTTCTTCATGCTAAGCCTGGGAACGAGACTGATGTTAAAATCTGCTGTCCATGTACCCTTACTCACATTGAAAACTCAAACTTAGATCAAAAGTCACTTCTACGGATTTGTATTTGATGTTTTAGTCCAATGAAGAGAAAGTACTGCTTTTATTTTTCTGTCTCTGGAACACTTTATCGAGAGATAATTAACAGTGGTGCATGCCTACAACCTCAGCACAATGGGAGGCTGAGACAGGAGAATCACAAGTTCTAGCTCAGCTGGGGCAACTAAGCAAGTTAGCCAGAAGATCCTGTCTCCAAAAAAATAAAAAAATCTGGTGAATGCAGTTCCTAGGTTCAACTCCAGTACCACATACAGATACTACACAGCAAAGGGCATGGGGTATGAAAAAATCTAAATATGGGAAACCCAAAATGTAAAAGAGAAAAACAAAATAAAAGAGTGACGGCAGGAAGGTAGGGTGGAGATGGTAAGGGGTCTGATTCGACTTGTGCCTGGCTCAGTTCTCCAAGATGAATGTAATTACTATGTGCCACGAACATATGCCAATAAAAGAAAAATTTAAAGAAAGCTGGCACAGTGGGAAGAACGGGTGCCTCTCCGACAACCCTGGTGGTGGGCTGCCACTGCCAGGACGGAGCAACGGTTGACCTCAGGCTTGGCAGGCACACGCGGGTCTAAGACTGTTTCGTCAGAATACCAGTCACTGACTGGCTCCTAATGTCTCTGGGCCAGCATGGTTTTTTTCTTTAAAGGCAATAATTTGAGAAAAACATTTATAATAAAAACACTTTTAGTAACTATCTAACAAAATAAGGATTTTAGTTCTATGATCTGATAGCTCGACAACAGCAGATAAAGAAAGGGGGGGGTGTGCTCATTTCAGGACCAGAAGGTGTCCATTTTCAACTGGAATGATAACCCCATTACAGGACCTTTCTTTTCAACGGAACGGAGCTTGAATGATCAATATTTGCTAAGTTTCCTTTGAGTATCCTTTCACAGTTAAAACTGTAATTATCTTTACTTGAATTAAATGGAAAGCTTCAGTATGATTTGTATTCCTTAGGGACTAAAGCACAGGTTGTACTATTGCAGTGCTGATCTGTCCTACCTATGATTCAGTTGAATGTATATAATTTCTTTCTGATTTGCTACTAAAGTCAGAAACTGAAGGACAACTGAGGAAATATGTAAAAGTTGAGAGGTTCCAAGCTCCAGACCTTGCTCAGTGGATGGCATGAGGAATGTTATTCAGCCTCCCAAACTTGTTCTTCCTGCCTTTAATGAGTATAGGAATGTTATTCTCATTAGGCTGGCTATTTTGAGGTTTACAGTACAATGGCTTATTTTAAATGTTTAAGCACTGTCTGAAACACAATAATTAAAATATTGAGTAAACAAATCTATTCATCAATAGGTTTTCTAATAAATTATGTATGGCTGAGGAAAACCAGAAAAAAAGTAACAGTAGTATTTTAGTTTGGATTTTGCCCACATCTCTAAAAATTCAAGAGGCGTGGCTCCAGCCTGTGTGATGGTACAAGTCTCCAAAGAGCACTCCAGGAGCCTGAGTCAGGAAGGTCACAAGTTCAGACCCAGCACAGCAACTTAGTGAGACCCTGTCTCGAAATTTAATGGGGAATGGGGAGCTGGGAATGAACTCAGTGTGAGGGCGCTGGGTTCAACGTCTGGTGCTCCGAAATGGGGCTGGACATGGTGCTTAGGATAATTAGAGTTTGCTTTGACCCAAATTAATTAAATAGGGAGGAAAGTTTGAAGAAAGGGTCCCTTATGATCATGGCATCATTCTGAAATGGTTATAGAAAACTAATGTTTTCTTAATTGTAAGATGTGCTATCTTGATAAAACAGAGTTAATCAGCCCTACTAGATATAGGCATATCTACGCAAAGAAATGATACTGCTGGACTTGAATTTGGGTGCAAAGTCAACGATTTCACTCAAGGAAAGAAATCAAACTGACAGTGAGGCAGTCAAGGACACTGCCCAAAGAGGAACTATTTTCTAGACCAAAAGAGAAAAGATTTTAAGCTCAATGAAATATAATAAACACAAAATTATATCTTCTGTGGATTTTTATTCCTACAGATTGTAACCTGGCACCTCCAGTCAGTGTCAAACTCCAATAAAAAAATAAATAAAAAATCTACGAAGAAAAGAACGATAAAAAGTCAGTGCCACGATTTATCTACTGTCAGACCTGGTTAATCAAAATGACTGGTCTCCCACCATCAGTTAGCTCAAAGACTCTTTAGATGCACCGGTCAGCGGAAGGAATATCCAACAAAACTGGCTCCCTAGCCCGTCCTGTGAATATCTAAGCGAGTGAGCGGATGACAGCTTACTCCACCGTGGTTAAATTCTCCAGTTGGCTAAGCGTTTGTTTTCATAGTACAACCCGCACATCAGGGACTAGAATGAAGAGACGTGAGTGAATCAGGAGACTGACTGTATGTGCCGACAGGATCTTAGAGGTTGGCAAGGAAGGAGAGATTCTGGCTACCAAATGGCATTTGGCATCACCGTAACTCCAGATCAGTCCATTGCATCTAGCACCCACTGTCTTCACAAAGAAAGGCCGCTATCTTTGAACCTGCATGAGCAAATCCTTCCCGTAGCACCCTGGTATCTGCCTACCACCTTCCTGGTTTCTGGGAAACAGTTCTATTTTTTTCCTGTTCCATTTGTTCTACGGAATCATTTTTTACTTTTTGTTTCTTTGGCACAGCTGACTTTTCATAATTAGTTTGCTGCTGTCTTTCTTCTGCTCCTCACCCCTGTGAAGGGAGCTCGCTGTCCTCCTTCCCTGCTGGGAAAGCCTGTCCGATGCCTCTCGCTTTGCTGTCAGTCTCCTGTGACTTCTCACCCAGACCCACCGCATCGCCCTGGCTGCTCTCGAAAATAAGAAGCACCCGAGGCTCCGGTCCAGCCCGCCTTGCTACTGCTTCTCTAGAAAGGGCGTTCACATCCTGAGGCAAAAAAAATCATTCAGGAGAAAAAAGACTATTTAAACAAATCCCAAACCCCTAGGTCACTGTCCACGAGAAATGACACCAATTCTCTTCTGCTCATTTCAGGAATTTTAAAGGTTATTGGTACTTCTGAGACTATTTTATTCATCACTAGCAATCAACAGTCTTAAGGTTTTCTTTTAAAGAAGAGGAGACCCTTCTCCTTCAGTTTTCTACCCCGCCTGCCTCAAGCACATAGCTGCTACCCTAATGCCCTGAAATAGAAATGCCTGTTTATCTGAGAGGCTACTGAATAAAATAGGCTATTCTTAATACTATACTTTGCTTCCATTTTTGAAGAGTTTCTAGTTTATATCATTATTATTTTTCTGAATATGCAAACATCACTCACATTGCCAGAAACGGTGACTTTCCAGAAAGATGCTTATTTGCCATTAAGGATGACTATATCATGAGACACAGACGTTCCTTTACTATAAATGATGTGGATAGGTCAATCCTAACTGTAAGACTCACTTCATTCTACATAAAACCTTGCTTTCTCAAGTGAGGCTGTATTCCTTTTTTCCCCCTTTCTGTAATGCTGTTAGGTCTAACAACCAAAAAACAAAAGGGAAATCTGAAAAGGCAACAAGCAATGAAGTCACTTTTCCTCCTTGCTTTATTTGCTTGGTTGGTTTGGTTTGGTACCGGGGATCGAACTGGGATCCCTGTGCTTGTTTGCAAGGCACGCAGCGGAACCACTGAGCTAAATCCCCGGCCCCTTCCTCCTTGCTTTCTTTGCAGCATTCTTGGTACAATATACCTGTAATGTTTTGTGGGATCTAAAGTTGACTATGTTAGAAGGGATGAATTTCAGTACGAATTACGACTTCACCAAGCCATTCTTCAATACAACTGCTAAATGGTAAGGAGAGCATTTTGCAAAGTTACTACTGTTAGGCCTTAACTCCAAAAACTCAAATCTGGTAATCTGCAGATAATCCTACTTTTCAAAACCAGCAAACATACAAAATAAAACAAACTTTATCCAGAGGTTTCTTTACATAGGTATCTGGTGGACTATCAAGAATTCTGGTCAATGTTCAATCTATTCAATCATATTTTATTCAACTATCTGCACTTAAGTAATGTATGTATTTAAATCTACCAATATTTTTTGGATACATTTCGTCTTTCTCTCAGAAGTGATTTCGAATATAAAAAGACAAGTAAGAAGAGTATAAGTCGGGCCTACACAAAAGAACAAGAGGCCTGCATAGCCAGCACATGCCTGAGCTGTCTGTAGAAAGATAAAGTCTCAGGAAGCACCAGACACGAGTTTGGGGCTCAGTGTACCCCGGGCCTCGGGGGATCATGCACGTACCTGTGGCACACGACCCTTCTGCCACCACGAGGATCTCACTCTGCTGTTTGCACGCGGCCTGTCGCAGGTAGCACTCGTTCTGGTAGCTCTCGCCGTTGGAGCCACACACCGGCACATAGTCACTGTTGCACTGGGAACACACGGGCGTGAGCGTGGGGTTAGTGCTGCGGTCTGCGCTCCCCAGGCATCCTTAACACAAATACCCCCGTCCTCATTCTCAGTGACCCCCTGGGATTCCCTAAGTCCTTAACCCCATGAGCGCAACACGGAAAGACACGCACAGGCCGCGTCCAGCCAGCCAGCCAGCCCGTCCGTAGATTTGGAGGGGTGATAAAATAACTGGTGATTCCAACAGGGACTGCAGAAGGCTCAGGCAGAAGATGGAGCAACAAAGAATCAAAACTCTGTAAGACTGTTTTCCTGCTTTATAGCCCAACTGACGTGGAACCCCACTACAATGTTCGATCTATTCAAAACAAGGCAATTATCTGCGTTTATCATGGAAATGTTTGGCTGAAATGCAAAAAGTTCACTTTTTCTTTGCTTGTTTTTTTTTTCCCTATTGACTTTTCAACTTTACAAATTTTTAGATGTTCAGGTATCGATTTATTAATTCATTTTACGTATCTTCAAATTAGTAGCCATTGATGTATATACTACCTAAAATCAAGATTATGGAATACAGGGAAAAACATTAAACACTTACTGAACAATATATATATATATATATTTATGTAAACCTCACTGACCACTCCAATGTATGACTACCAATACACATTTCAGAAGGAGAGAAGTTCATTTTTAAAAGCAATACTATTATAAAAGTATACATTTTTGCAATGGAAATCAGGCATCCTACGGGGATAGTCATTGCAGTCTAGTCGCTCGGAGGCATTAGACATACTAGGCTCTGTCCTGCAACTGCTAATTCCACCAGAGGTGTGATTAGCTCATGATCAGTACAATGATGCACTTCATTGTCTAATTATAATAAATGTCATGATTAAGATGATTATTGAAAAACACTTAAATGTGCCAGAAGCTAAGGAAGATCATTCATACAGATACATGTGAAAAACACTTTTCTTTTTTCAATTTTAAGTAAATATTTGGACTTTTGATGTGCTCTGATTGAATGATAAACACAGAAACACAATGATTTAATGGGGTATCTCTGACGGTTTGATTTATATGATAGTTAAGTCCAAAACTATCACCAGTATATCTCTAGTCAATGATTGATGCAAAAAATAAAAATAAACTCTGAGAATCTCATTATTCAGCACGTAGGATAAATCTTTATGTTCTAATTTTTGATAATGTATATTCTTCCTTACTCCAAAACAACCATGTAACTCTTGTTCTTACCCTTTGTATAACAGCTTAGGCATTCTGACAAATTCATAAATCGTGTAATGCAGTGTTCTCGGAAATGAAAATCTTATGACTCTCACTCTCTATTGGTGAATAAGATAAATATTACACATTGCTAATTTTGATCTACTTTTCTTCAAACTATAAATTCAAACAGTATGATACTCAAATTATGATGACAATAACTGCTAACAGGATGATTGATTACACATTTTATAAATCTTCTTTATCCCTGTTTCATACAATTCATAATCCAGACGTTCTGGAAGTCCTCTGTATAAAAACTCCTTTCCTTAGGTAGACAAATGAGTTCCAGACTCAGACTATTTCTGTGATATATTTGAAAAAGTGATGTGACTGGAACTTTGCTAAGCTTTCTCTAATCTAAGGAAGTATATACGTATTATATAGCATCTAATTCTAGATTGTTATGTGTTTAAGTATATATTTTTAAATAAGGACACATACACTGAATTACATGTGAAGTCAGCCCCACGTATTTCTGTTGCTATCGAGACAGAAGGCGGTGGCCAAGTGGAGGAAATGGCAGAGTGGCCCAGAGAGCAGCAATGAAGAGCAAAGAGGTCGATGGGGCCTGTGTTCCTGTGAGAACTGCGGCCAGTGAGGCAGAAGGACGGGAGGCCAAGGGCCTGCTGCCGTGCTGGCTTCGGGACCTGGGACAGGAGACTGGGTCGTGGGTAGGGTCTGTGAGGTTCGTGAACACTGCTATATCTGAGTACAGAAAAGAGATACCAGGAAGAAGCAACAGCTGGCACCCTTATGGGCAACAGACTTGCTAACTCCTGCACTAGATATGAGAGAGAGACAAAATTAGTGTGCATGGCGGGACTAGCTAACTTCTGCTTCCGTTCCAGCACCCTTGCCCGTGGCTGGGGTTATCTCTGCATCTCCTTATTTAACTCCAGTGACAATACTTCAGGAGTAGAGTATTTGGTTCCTTTTTTCTTCTGCTCAATCCCTAAAATTTCTCTCTTCATCCTTCTCATGCACTGCTACAGATTACAAAAATGTAGAGTGGGGGACTGGGAAGTATTTATCATCCCTGCCGAGTGCTATTACACAATGCTGATAGGCATCTTAAAATAGCAAATAAACTGATAGCGTGCTCGCATGTGGCTTCTGAAGAGTGCAGTAAGCCAAATGTGAACAGTGCTAAAAGCAGAGCTGCCAAGTCCCAAGCACAAGCCAAAAGTGAGATTTGTATGGAGCTGAGAAGAGCTTAACTGTAGATTATCACCACGATGCTCTTGGCCCTCGGTACCATGACTTGCACACATAAATATGAATAACCCAAGAAAGAAGAACATTCAAAAATCATGACGGCTCGAGAGAAGGAATCTAGTCCTAGGTTCTCCAACTTCTCTCCCTGTTTGGTGAGGAACCCTTTGCATATTATTCAATGATTAAATATTTAACATCTTCATCGCTTAATTTCTCCACTTGGAATAGTTAACTGGGATATGTTATGTCATTAAAATATGAAATGTTATAGAAAAATCACTTATAAAAATGTAAACTATTTGCCTTCCTGACTTGTATTTTAATCAGCAACATTAACACATAACAATACCAGCATATAGCATTTCTAGAATTAGAAAACAAAGGAAAGCAACATTACCCTCTGCATGAAAACAGGCTAACTACTGCACTGAAACTCACCAAATTATTGGAAATAGTTTTAGGTAGTAATCATAACATTGCTGTGTCTGAGGAAGGGACAAGCTCAGATGTCAAATGACTTACTAAAGGCCATGTAATTGGCTGGGAAAAGATAAAACAAGACTCAGGACCAGATGGCTAAGTCCATAAATGTATGTGTTGTGCAAACTTTCTCTCAGGAGAAAAAGGGATCCTATTTTCCTGAAGATTTTTTTTTTTAAGAAATCTTGAGTTTATTTTCCAAATATACGTTTTTCCTTAAAATGATTTTGACCCCAAATTTCTACAGTGCTTAAGAAATCAGCAAGGTACTAACTACACTAGTGGATCCCATAACTTGACATGCTAGAATGTATAGAACTCATCTTTATTGTAAAAGAATAAGGTTAGAAGTTTTTCACATGATTTATAGCTAATTTGGTTAATAAAGGCCTTTTGAAGCTGCAGTTTCGGCATCTAGAAGTTATGCATGTCTTAGCTTTTATGTATACTGTCTGCACCTTCCAGAGAGTCTGGCGTGTAGACCGTGCCCAACAGATGTTAAGTGAATTCTGTTATATTCCCAGTTGTTAAAGGCTTGGGAAGAATAGTCTGGGTATATTTCTTTTCCAAAAATTAAAAAAGATAAAAAACCTGTGTATGTTGCAGTCTTTTGACCACTTCCTACGTAACTTTTACTTCTGTGACTATGATGTCTTAAACACAGAAATGCTACAGCAGGCTTCCAAATATGGTGAAAGTGGCTCTCTGTGGTTTCCCAGGCTGGGTCATTAAAAGATACAACTTCTATCTGTCTCCATCTCTCGCTCTGGATGCTCATCCTTGAAACCCAGCCCAGTGCTATGCAGAAGCCCAGAGCAGCCCACAGGAAGAGACCACTATGGAGGAGAACCAAGGTCCACAGCTGGTGGGCTGAGTTAGGACCTGAGAAGAGCAGAGCAGCAACCTGTGAGTCAGTGCCCCACCCCTTAGCTAATGACAAGGCAGCAAGAGGTGTTTCCAATGAGCTTTGTCCAAACTGCAGACCCGTGACTAAAATAAATGCTCACTGTCTTAAACTGCCAAGTTCTGGGCTATTTGTTATACAGCCCTAGTAGCTGGGGCATCTACATATCTAAAGCATGGTTTATTAAATGACACTATCTAGCAGTGGAATTAGATAATACCTGAAAAGCATCAGACTTCATCATATTTTTGAATTATGAAGTGATCACTGATTGTACAACCAGCACTAAGAACAACTATATGCATTTCTCTCCCACCATCTTTTTTCCTTTTTTCCCCCTTCCTATCTTCCTTTATCTTTCATGCATCTATTTATCATCTACCTACTTCTTCTAAACTTCCACTTTCACAACTGAGGTACCAGAATGATCAGCATATCGTTTGGTATAAAGATAGGCAGGATAGAAGAGATCAAAGGATATTTTCAAATTCATATTATCATATTACCACCCAAGAATGAGTTGTAGAGAAGGAGTACACCTGATCCAAAAATATTGAGACAAGAAATGTTTCAGATTTTGGAGATTTTGGGATTGTGAAATATCTGCATAGACTTTATCCTTGAGCACCCCTAACCTAAAAAACTCAAATTGTAAAGTGCTCAAACTCCAAAACTTTTTGAGCATCGTGCTAAATTTTAGATCATTTTGGAATTTGGATTTTCAGATTAGGGATGCTGAACTTGTTTTGTTTTGGATCTTGGCAGTTATCTACAACAAAGTGGCATTCTTGTGTCGATGATGTGTTCATTAACATGTAGAATATTTTGAGAAAAAATGGTTAATGTGAAAAGACCTAGGTTCATACTCCAGAATCACCATTTAGTCATAAATCACTTATATTTATGGGCCTTAACTACTCCATCCTTTCAAGGAAGAGAAAAGAATTACCTTATCCAATTGCAAGAAATAAATGTGATGATATGTTTTAAGAATAGAGAACGGTTTATTTAAAATTACCTAAAGAACTGAAAGTTAATTTATTTTCCCTTTAGTGCTTCAACCGTAATCCAAATTGGAAGACACAGTTTATACGCATAGGTGCCCATTTCTCTTTGAAAACTGTGTCTCAGCCAGAAAGACTAAGTTTGCATCCTATTTTGCATGGAAGAATTCATGGTTGCATCTTTTCTATTCTAATTAATTTTATTGGTGCATGTAAGGGATACAATATAATGACATTTATCATTGGAAATTTGTACCTTTACATAATCCATCTTGGTTCTTCTTTTTTCCCCATTCCCCTGCCCTCCCTCTTTTCTGCCCTCCCTCCCTTCCTCCCTATCTACAAAGACTTTATTTCCAGTTTTTATTTTTTCATATTAATCCCATTCCCTTCTTTCCTTTCCCCTACCACTCCTATTTGCCCTTTTCCTTTGCCCCTTTTCTTCCTATTTCACATTCTAGTACAGGTATCATGGGTGCATCTTGAGGTACAAGAGAAACACAAGTTCAGAACTGTATGTAGAACAGTGACTTTTCAGGCTCTGGCCTTTTTATCAGATTCTACAGTAGCCCACCCAGAATAAACCACACCAAAACAAACAAAGCCTTCAATTTCACGTGGAAGTATTGGTGGCAGACTGAGTCAAGACACTTTTAGCTTAAACTATCCTACGTATGTATGACATTTTCTCCAATTTCAACGTAAGCAGCCACTATATATTCTTCACATATGCAAAGTCTACATTTTCCATTAGGAAGATGATGTTTACTTCCTTGAGCCAAACTGACAACTATTGCAATATATGCACGCATGCACAGCAGTAGGAATCCACAGGAGGCGTAAGATGCTACACATAGGACATTTATATTTCAATTTCCTATTTAAACTGGCATTAATTGCCCCCCATCTATTCCATTCAACAACTATTTAAATTAATGATAAATGTGGTTGACCAATATACGAAAAACACTACTATCTTTGTTGATAAAATTTTTACTTAAATCTTCTGTGGTGGCTAAAAATTGAACACAATTCCTTTAATTGAAAACTACACATTTCCCTTACTGGCTGGCACGCCATGATTTAGAGTTCTATCAACTCATTCCTGCCTTCAGTCCTGGTGAAATCTAAGAACCACGACTTTCCATGTGCAGAGCTTTCTTGCTGGTTCACTTCATAAGCTTTATATCTATCATTGGTTGCTAAAAAAGATAAATTCATGAAAATCACAAAAATGAGAGGGAAAAAAATTCCCACAAAGCCCTGTGGGTCTTTAGTTGCTGATTTATCAAATTGTTTTTCTTTCCTTTAGTTAACATTTGGAAAAAGTATGAATTGGGGAGTTCCAAGGCACCATATCTCTCATGTAGTTCACTGAAAAAACCGAACCACACTGTTCAATCTGGTGCAGGCTTTGGAATCTAGTACCATATGCATACACAGCATACAGAACTACGTTTGTAGCATGATAGCATGGTCTGCAGGACCGCAGTGTAGTCTTAGCAGTACCTAAACACCAGGAGATGGTGCACTTCACAAATACAATAGTTTGGTTTTGTTTCTTAGAAAGAAGAAGGTAAAGTTTTTGAAGATTTTAGCTCAAATCACTCAAACCACATTTAAAGGTGAATTTCCTTATCTGCCTCACTGAAAGGCTGCAATCAAACATATTTAAATTTATTAATTCTAAATATCACAAATGAACCCAGATATTTAGGGCTGAGTTGCAGTTTAATGTTTTGATTTGTTCTATATCTTTGTTTTTCCTTACGGTCTTGGAAACTATCCCTGATACCATATATAGTTTTGTTTATATGCATATTTCCTGGCTTAGTATTATGTTGGATATCCAAGTGTGTTTTAAATAGTAATGCAATAACACTCAAGGGTGAATATGATATATTAGTACAACATCTATGCAATTCAAAAGTAAATGTGAAGGTATTTTGGGGGGGCGGGTACTGGGGATCGAACTCAGGGGAAAAAATGAGAATCAAGACCTGTGACATAAAGGTACAAGATCCCAATAATGAACGTAACTGTACTGTATAACTAAAATGTACCAAAAAACTCAATAAAAAAAAACAAAGTCAACACTCAAAAAAAAAAAAAAGTAAATGTGATCATACAAACATTTTGAAAGAGAGAGATTTTTAAATTACATGATATAAAGCATTTGTCAAATGATGGCTATAATAACAATATCAAGAGTCTTATCCATTGGAGATATCACTAACCTAGTTTGATGATATCTAGTTTGCAACCTCTTTCCTTTTTCTCTTAATTTTTGAAAACCTTTGGAACACAAGACAAAGCAATCTTTCTGACGTTCACGAAATGACCTGTGGCTGTATGTGCTCAAATGGATTCATGGTAGCTTTACCTCCACCAGAAGGTGGTGTCCAGGAAGAAGCTGGCATATAATAACAAGGCCCATGAGTTCTCAACTAGCACAGGAGTTCTGAAGTCACCCTAAGAGCAGCTGATTAAGAAACTCAATCTGACCGTCACGATAATGAAGCCCGATGTCATTAAAACAAAGAGGAACAACATCAGAAGATGAGAGCTCCAGCCAACAGAACAAAAGTGCAAACCCACACAGGATAACCCTGGACTATCTTGACGACTTCTTCCAGTCAGGTCACATACAAGATGCATGCGAGAAGGGTGAAAGAAACAATTTTCCTTCCACATCCCCACAGCACAACCTGAAGCTTGCTACCTCCAGCAGCATTTATATCTCTGGCATATCCAGCTCTCCAACAAGCATATGTCTTCTTGACATCAGCTGGCTCTCCTGCCAGTATTTGCTTGGTGCCAGCTTTCCTCTTAGCTTGCCTAGCTATAAATTGCCAAGTGATAGGTTGCAAAGGCAGATCCTTGCTTGGTAGTCTCTTTGAGGAACGAGAAGATGCAAACAGAAGACATCTTACCTTGAACTGACAGACGCAAGTCACAGTGTCTCCAATTCTTAAACACTCCCCGTCGAATTTACAGGTGTTGGTGTCACAGAGGAAGAGATCATTTTCTCTGTCATCATAACCTTAAGTTTAAAGAGAATGCTCCAGTTATTTAAAAACATGTTGTAGATTTTAACACAAAAGCACAATCTTGAAGCTTTTTAAAGAGTATTAGAAATTTTAATTCCAACAACCACATGTTCTGCAAGGTCACTGCTGATGACCTCGAAGTCTAGTTAAATGATCAGTGTTTCTCACATTTCTTTTCTAGTTAATTCCCCTTCTGTCTTTCCTTTTGATACTACTGTTTTATTTCAACTTGGGTTAACACTGACAGCAGTGAATGAAAGTTTGAGACAGGCTTCCCAGCTCATTTTCTCCTCCTTAAGTGGACTATATTTGTGACCCCAAAACCCAACATCCTGGAAAAGAGCTGATGATCATCTGTGCCATTTTCCCATTTCTCCATCTTTAATCGGTCCTTTGTTTTTGAAGGTCTGAAGCAACCTCTGATTTGGAATTTCTCCAGACAAAGAGGAAACAAAGCCCCAATAATAAAGATAAACAGTCACAGTGTTTTCTGTGATGGTCTGTCTGGCACAAATGAAGATTGATCACCTCTAAGTTAGCAGTGTGTGTGTGGGGGGGCAAGGATAGACAATCTGCCTGAGAAACTATTCATTCTTCTTAGTTTGTGCAGATCCCTTTAAGATAGCTAGCTAATAATGCCAATTTCACAAGTAAGCTATTTATTTCCTAAAACAATACTACAGTTATAGGATAAAACAAATCAGCCACATTGGACCAAAATGTCATTAACATGTAAAACTATTGCTTCGGGAGATATTTAAATATCCCTATAACAAAGCCCCTGAAAAGTGATTAGGTATCCTCAAAGTAGAACTTATTTTTTCAAAAATATCATATATGCATGCATAAACCAAGAATAAGTTGAAGAAACACGCTGTCTCGTTAAAAACGTCAAATTTACAAATGCTCAAGACAAGAACAAATTCATTTCATTGACCCAAATCGAACAGGGTTGTAAACCTCAACTTGTTTTTTAAAAGGGGGAAAAAAATCACAGTGACGCAGAATAATTTCCCTTTTGGAATTTCACATTAGCAATAGCTCAGAACCACACATCCTTCCACCTGTCAGTACAGTTAGCCATACCGTCCTCTCAAAAGTTGCAGTCTAGGGCTCCAATACATCCCCGAAGCCCACTTCATTCAGAGCCAGATTTAACGGTAGCACAATCATAGGGATGGCAGAGGAAAAATTATATACACGCTTGCAAAAAAGTAGAACAGAGCAGAGCTAGAGGACGGCATCCTGGCGCGTGCATGGAGTTGGAAATGCCGATGGAACAGCACCCCATTCCTCCCGGTGCCCTACAGGGAGTCACACCGGAACGTGACGGCCAGGTGTCGGCAGCAGCTCCCATCCTCGGCCCTGTTTCATTAGGAGGCTTTGGCGGAGCGCAGCCTGGCCGAGCTCTCGCCCCCAGAACCAGAAGGGGCCGAGCAGGCTAGAGGAGCGCCGCAGGCTCTCCACGGCGCCTTCCAGAGACGGCGGCTCCCGGCCAGCCGACGCGGATCGGC